AATTGGCATGAAACTAACTATGTGCATGTTAACTGCATTTAGAGAACCATAAGTTCGTAATAATTAACATTTAGCGCTCTGGAGATTGAGTTAGATCATCGTAGGTTAATATTATTAATTAGATATCGAGTAATTATCAACCACTATATTATTATTATGTAATTGCGTTTATAAAGTTGTCAATTTAGCATATATTTATAGTCTATGCATATTTGCCTACTAACAGCGTGTTTCTTTCATCAAGTCAAATCCAAACAATTAAACTTTAACACATTTTCTTATTTTGTTGTATAACTCACTCAAAGAACAAAGTTTGTACACATGGCACATAATCATTCTTCATTTATTCAAATACAAATACTTACTAAAATAAAATATATTCAACTACCTATCTATAAAGATTATTTTTCAATGTCGATCATAAGAAATTCCTCCTCTATTGAAGTCAGACAAATTATTCGGTATTCAAAGAAAAAGTCTGAAACGAGATGAAAACACAGAGTTTAACACGTTTTCGTCTCGAGTGCGATCGTTATTTTTAATTTTATAATGTACCTGCTCGTAAAGATTACAGACAATATTTTAACAGCAGCGGATATTGTACAAAATATGTGCTTTTGAAATAAGTGTTAGTTTACAACCCAAACGTATGCTTAAAAACGTTATGCATGTCCTTGTTGATATATAAAACACAATGCTCGCTTTCTTCGTTATGATGTTATTTATTGTTATGTCTACGCACGTTTCAGACGACAATAAAAAGAAAAATAATAATAATAAACAAATAAATAAAAATAATAATGGCAAAAAAACATAGTTAAGAGATAAAATAAATTATGTAAAAATGGAATCATCACGAATGAGCGCGTTACACATTCATGGCACATATAATATAATATAATATAATATTGCAAAATTTGAAAATATCTTAACACGTTTGGTGATTAACTAACTCATAACGCCTGCCATAATAATATCATAATATTATATTCTCTGTCAGAATAATAGAATTATGATGACAGAGTATATGACGTATTTACCCCGCCACAAAATATATAACGAGAATGGTTATATTATTATCATACGCAGTGTATTACCACTATGAAACTATACGTACCATATGTTGTGTGTGTGTGTGTGTGTGTGTGTGTGTGTGTGTGTGTGTGTGTGTATGTGTGTGTGTGTGTGTGTGTGTATTTGTGTATACCATTAAAAAATAATAATATTCATTAGCTTTAAATATTGTTATAATAACACATCGGTGGGTAACAATGCAATTCAAAAACGTTAACTCTGTGGTAATATATTATCCCGGCATAGCGTTACAAGTAAGTCACATTCTTCAAAGGCACGTCAATGTACCCATGTGTTGTTGTGTGCCGGTTGTACGTTGTATATTATTATTATAAATCATAATATTAACCCCACCTGAGATTCAGGTACGCTCGTGGCTGGGCACAAGTTGAAATACAGATTGTACATATTTTATAATGGATTTATTAATGTATAGTGTATACATCAACTAGTGATGTAAAAAACGATATTTTTTTAGTATTATACGTAAAATAAACCTTGTTTAATACCGTATTACAGTGTGCATTATCTAGAGTATAATTAATATATGTATTATACCGTAGTATTATATACACAATTTATACGGTAGATTATAATATTACGAAAATATCCTTTATTTTAAAAATTACACAAATCACATTAACATTGCTCATTCAAATGCAAATGCATTAACATTTAACAATGATAAAATAAAAAAAAAAGTGAAATTTCGTATAGTAACTTCAAATTAACAAGAAATTAGAAAATTAACAAAACAGTTAGTGAATGATAATTAACATTAATTAAAAATAAATATTAACAAGCCAAGATCAATGTTTAATGATCTAATTTCATCATAATGTGTAGGAACTTTTATTTTTTGTTTCAAATTCTATCCAGAACACATAAATAAATAATACCATTTGATGCCTGTGTATGTATAATTTATTACATAGTATATTAGTATATATTACGAATATGTAAAAAAAAATTGTTTTAATAGCCATTAAGTTATTTTGAAATATACTAAATTAGTGTATTGATACCATAAAAATATTATATACCTAACAATCTATATTTTAATGTAATATTTAATGCATTTTTATTATACATCGGTAGATAATTAAGATAGTAATTTTCATATTTTTAAATCAAATTCGTAGGTACTATAAAACTGTCACTAATTACATTATATTTTCATCCCGTTTCGTTTATCGAAATTAATGAATAATAAAACCAGCTCCTGCTATACAAACAATAACTGCAGACTAAAATCCAATTTAATATAAATTAGGTAATAACTAATAAGGCATACCAAATAACGGTTAGGTTAAAATGTGTGCTAGATAAGTATCGTCTAGAAACTTTTAAAATAGGAAACAGCTTCAATCATATTTTGTTGTAACATTATTTTAATAAAAGTAGTTACTTGGTTTAATTTTAACATAAAGAAAAAATAATAAAGATAATACAAAAATATAAATTAATTTATATTTTAAAACTAGTTTTAAATATTAATTCATTAAAAATATAGTAGAATTAAAGGATCAATGAGTAAAACTTTTAGGTTTACATGTGACATTTGCAATTTATTAATCACGAAAAGAGTCAAAAAACTTACATAACTGTACAATGTACATACCTACTTCGTGTACTTGATGATTACTCGATGAAACTTTTCGTTAAACCTAGCATATTTACGTGTTCCAAATGTTTTAAATTTAATTTCAAGCAATTTATAATTGACTGTTTTCATTCAAATCCCTCAAGAATTATAAGTAATATTGAACTATATTAACTAGGTATGAAGTATAACTTACATAAAACCAATAATTAATTAAAATTAATATAATATCAGAGCTAAATTTAAAATTGTCTTGTCACATAATTAGCATCTAAAATGCCTAACATTGCCCTAAAGCTTAACATAAATGCCACTAAATGTATAGGTTCCTTAAAATCAATACAATCTTCAGTAATCCAATTTAAATTGTTAAGTTGCCCATTTAATAATATTATAAGTTTTTTGTAATGTCCAAAAGAATAAGTAAATAACCAACTAAAAAAAAAAATATTGACTATAAAATAATCAAGTTTCTAATTTCTAAAAAATGGGAACAAAATGTAAACTTTAAAATTCTCGCCTAATCGAATAAATTTAACCAATAGTATTCAACTTTTATATTTGAACAGCTTTCAACTAGGATGTATTCATGTGATGTATCACTCTTTGTACAGAATGTGAAAATGAATTATATTTCTTTGTATACCTCCAAGATCGAAAGTAAAAGCATTTTGTGTGATAATGGATACGCGTTCGCGCACAGGAAATAAAAGAGATGACTATTTCTCTTTTATCGTACGCGGGTATGTGTGCTTTGGAAATATAACAAAAGGCCGACCATATATATATATATATATTATACACACAGAAACCGTATCCGTATGTCCATTTATGACCATAAACAAGAAATAGTGATTTATTATTGCAAACATATTCTCACCAGAAATAATATTGAATATATTGAGCATATCGTATCTTAGAAAACACGCAATGTATAGCTTAAATCCACAAACAAAGGTTATTATTATACTATATATATATAATGACGTCAAACATAACCATTTTTATTCGAAGACCACTTCATGTCAAAAATAATGTCTTTTTAAAAATATATTAGCTTACCCCCGTACTATTACCATCGTAGAAAAAAATACTTACGCCATCTAAAATCGAAAAAGTTAAGCCATAAATTATTGCCTTTTTATTTAGGTCATCGTTATTAACTAGCTATCAGTAAAAAATACTGTTTTGAAGGGGGATGACCGAGGAGATGACCTAGTAGAAAAACGGTGTATTGTATGTGATTAGGAACATTTTTATCTTATTTATATGTATTTAATCATGATCATTAATAATAACTGTGTGTTATGAGATACCATTATATTTTAAGGTCTTATTATAACGTACTGGTTAAGAGATTTAAAACTAAAATTATGAGATAGGACAGTTTTGTCATAGCAATGTATTTTATTTGTCTAAGCGCTCGTAGAAAATAATTTATATAATGCTGATTGCTAATTAGAGGAGGTTATTTCAGGCCCGTATTTAGATGGGGAAACAAAGGGGCTGTTTTTTCCGAATTGCTATTTTTATTTTAAATTGTCATTGTATTAATTCTCTCTTAACTCCATTCACTTATTTCCTACAATTAACATTATATTTTTATATTTTGAAACTTGTTATCATCATTTATAACATTACCTATCATTATTATTAGCAAAAATGGTCTTAGCTATATTAAACATGGAAAAGAGATCTAACCTTCGCCACAGAATAATTTCTGTGCCTCCGCCTTCAATTTTGTATTTGTATTTTTTTTTAAACCTTTAACTTCATATTATTAAAACTAATACTTAAATGTTTTTTTATGTATAACTGGGCGTTTATTTTTGTAGCCCTTGGACGGAAAATTCCTAAATATAGCCCTATGCATACGATAATAATTGCATTCTATGAATTAGGTACCTACTAAATGTTGATTGAAAATTACGATGAATGCATGTTTTTTTTTAACGATATAATACAAACAAATATAACTACTAGTCATATCAAGATATCATAAAAACCGTATGGAAATGTTAAATTATTAAAAACTGTCATTTATACAACTTGCATATTTTAAGACTATACACTGCATCATACAAAAACCATCTGGTATTTTAGTAATTATTTTCCACTATTGGTAAATAGATAAAAAAATATGTTCTATTACACGTTCTGAACTCTAATGGTATTTTCTTGTAGAGCGCGTATGAAATATTTAACGATTGTATCATGTGTGTATATTTTGTTTTAGATGTAACGTGAGCAAGAAAGAAACACGAAAACGCGGAACAAAGAAGCAATACAATACAATACAAAACAAAATAATAATTTTAAAAAAATGAAGGGAACCAAATGCTCAATGCAGACAACACGTTCTCGACAGCAATCATTTCATCACGCTGGTGTCGTGATGTATTTTATTTGTGCGCAATTGATGATATCCATTGATTCAGCAGCTCTTGGTTAGTATTCAAAAATGCATCACGTTTAAATATATAATACACGCATTTAATCCATAGTTTATGGGACACATTATGCAAATTTCATCGTGTAATACTGTTCATACGCACATGTACTGCAATGTGCTACTCGTGTCAGTGCACCATATAGAATCTAATCATAACAATGTTATATAATATGAGGTCGAATAATAATTATCGTCATTTATCCCACACACGTTCTACCGGTTATCTATAGGATGTGTAATTATTTTGCCAGTTTTTCATAATATCCACGCAATAATTATGAACATTTCGTCAGAAATACATATCTCCACGCACACATCAGTATTGATTTATGTCATAAAAAAAATAAGGATAATATAATAATGTAATGAAACAAATTTGAAATTTATAAAAGAAATATCTATAGAAAAACATGATAAAAATGCACAACTAACAATTAAAAAAATTAAAAAAGAAATGTTTTGTATATATTATAATAATTATAATATAAAAAGAAAAAAAATTTCAAAATATAACCACTTCTATATTACTATATTATCAATAATTGTTAAACATTTGAACTTTCTGAATTATTATTTTCCAAATTTCAGGAAAATAAACGAAATTGATTTTGCTGTGAGAGAAAAAATATACCGTAAATGTTACTTTTTTGTGGTTTCCTGTATGGTTTCAATAAGTGTATGGCCTCGGTTTGCTGAAAAACTACCGAGAAATTACCTCCCAAAAGACTAAAGTACTATCTATGTTCAATTTTCGATCTATTGATTGGACTACATGAACTTTTAAAGCCACTATACAAAAAGTGATAACACACTTTAAAAAATAAAAAACTTTTTTCTATAAGATTAATACATTTGTCTATTCGTTTAGAAACTTAATAAAAAAAGAAACACAAAATCTGCATCATTATCATTAGTTTATAATACGTTCTAGAAACTATTTTTAATCTAATTTAATATTAGAGAAGTTGCAAGAGAAACATAAAAATCAGAAATATTATTTTAGTGTAAAAAATCTTAATTAGTCCATTTGAAAATAATATATATATATATATATCAGATACTTAAAACGACTAGAGGGATTGTATAATGTACCTATGGATATGGAAGTTTGGTTGGCCACTTTTTCAGTTGTCTTAAGGTATTAAATCAATGGTAAATAATTGTTTATGAATAACGATGCAGAGCAGAGCTTAGGACTTATGCAACATAACCTAATTCAACTGTCCAACATTTTTTATTTATAAGAGATGAATTATGAGTGATTACAGTTTGTACTTAGAACTGCAGATGATAAGACGTATGTTTAAAAAAATAAGTGTCTACTAAAATTAAAATAAGTATTTATAGGATTTTTTGGGCTTTTATTCAAACATAATTTAACATATCCACAAGTACTCAACTTAAATTAAAATTTAATTAAAACAGCTTTTTGTTTTATAAAAATATACCATCATATTATTAAGAATCTTTGAATAAACTTTTGTAAAAGCGTTAGAAAAACTTTTAAAAACACGTCTTTTAGAGAAAATTTATTTTTTAAATATTCTGAGATGCTTTAAAAAGTGTCGTTAGTATTCTGAAAATGAACCAAAGTTATAAAGTTCTAGTTATTTAAAGTGTGTGAAAACAGAAAGCATTGTAAGCGACAGTTTCTTTTCCAAAATATATTATTACGTTTAAAATTACAAAAATAATAAATTTAAACTGCTGAGACTGGAAATATATTACTATTTGTCCTTAGTTTACTCAAATCATATTTTTACAGAAAAAACTCTAAGAAAGACAATAATACTAAAAAAATAAAAGTAAACAGAAAGAAGTTTAAACATATAGACTATTGTCAATGGTAAAGCTCATTCACGTGAATAATAATAATAATTTATTTCAATTTAAAATCAACAAAAGAAACAAAACTTGCAAAACTCCATACCTAACAAGAACCAAAAAAAATCATTCACTTGAAAGTTGAAATACTTTTTATATTTTACTCGCATGATAATAATAATATTATCTCGATTAGATTACATTATAATTTACATTATTTACGTTGATAAAAAATACTATATACCTACTACATAATATTATTATCTTTTAATCACTTATAAGAGTGACTAATAAATAATAATAGCGTTTATAATTTATTGTTAAGTGTACACGACTGTGTTAAATAATCGATTAACAAAGTAATAATTGTAATAGTACATAATATAGTAATATATATTTTGTACATGGCTAAGTTTATTTAATATACATATTATAATAAACACACTCGGCACTCAACTGTAAACAATATTTTTATACAACAGCACCGCTATCGATCATAGTTGTTTATACAATTTAACACATATGTATATTGGTAACTGTTTCATATCTAATAAAAAAACTTTGAGCATCTCATATTATTATTTAAAATTTAAATTTTTTTAATTTTTTTGTCCTAGAGCATGGCAACTACGGCCATTAGCTATTGTAGGGGTTACGGTTGTAACGGTTGGTAGGATTGGAACGGTTGGTACTGATGGTTGGCAAGATTTATGCCACTATGGACCCGGGTGGTCACCCATCCAGCTTACGTTGCCTGATTGATTTTAGACACTTAAAATTGTTTATAGTAGTTATTTAAGAATGAAATATTAAAATACCAAAAGCATTCATATTTTCGAAAATCATTAATGGATAATCATAAATCATAATTATTATAAAAAATGTACATACCTACGTCATACGTCATGTTATGCCCACTGCGAGTTCACGATGGCGATAACATTTATAATCTCGTGTTCGTTTCTTGTTTACAGTGGACGCTGCGGCCGTCGGAGTGGCCATCGAAGACAAAGTGACGCTACCGTCAAGAAACGAAGCGACAAACCCGTTAAAAGAACCGACGCCCAGCACGCTGCAGGGGGCATTCTTAAGCGGCAACCTGACAGACGTCACCAACGGTAGCACCAGCACCCCGCCGGCCGAGGTGTCCATCACGTCCACGACCGCGGCTGCGGCCGCCGAAACGGTTTGGAACGTGCAGACGGCTGCAGTGGCCACCCTACCAGCCGATGGACGCAACGTGTCGGCAATGGCCACCAAATTGGAGCCGGTCACCACTAACAGACCGCTGGAATCGTGGACGGACGTCGTTCACACAAGCACCGAACAACCGTCGTCGTCTCAGTCGTTGTTGCAGTCGTCTTTTTCGTCTGTGGTTGACTCGGCCACTCAAGAAGTGATCCGCGGAGGCGATTACGGTCATGACCTGAACAACAAGAATCTTGTGGCCAACATGCTGAAAAGCTGGTTTAACCACAAAGATGACCCTGCCACGCCCGGTGCGGCCAGCAACAAAGGATATTATACAATGGCGACCAAATATGTGATCAAGAACGGTGGTAAAGAAAAAGAAAGTGGGCCAACGGGCAACGGCATTGAAGAAGATGGGCCCGGTGCTGTCCCGGCACCGTCATCCAAAGCGGTTACGGTGGCCGTCGTGGCAGGCAACAAGAGCTTGTTCGAGCGATGGGACGAGGCGAGTGAGGAACAGGAACGCGTGCTGGAGGACGCTATGCGTTCCGAAGGACCTACGGGTGATGGTGAAGGCGGAGGCAATGGCGGTGGCTCATCGTCGTCAGTGTTGGCCGCCGATCAGAACACTCCCAGCCGGTGGTTCGTGTTACTGTTGTCCGGTAACTCGACCGTGGCGCAGATGCGGCGCACTGATTTCGCAAAGTACCTCAAGCTAAACCTTGCGGCCAGGCTGTCGCTGGAATACGACGAGGTCAAGATCAACCGCGTGTTGGTCGTCCCTCCTCGTCTCATGGTCAACGTCAGCGTGGTCCCCGTCTCTGAACGGACCTCGTCGGTCGCTGCTGCGGCCGCTGTCGCCGCTGCTGCGTCATCTTCGTTTTCGTCCTGGTCGCCATCGGCCTCTGACAAGACGTCAGCGGCTATCTCCGATCGGGTGGTCGAGGATGACGACCCTCTGCACAATCTGGTCGAAACCAATGCCACACTCATGGAACTGTCCGGAGAAGAATATCGGGTTAGTAGAATAGTTGTACACAACTCTAATTATACTAGTTATTTTGGTGAAACATTTTAAAAATATTTGTAGTTTGTTGTTGACACTATGTAGTATGTCATCGAATACCTAGTATGTTTTTTGTTTTCATCCCTTACCCAAAACAACATACATAACATATTAACTATAAATATATTCATATTTCATACATGGTAATATACGGTATAGAAAATATTTAAATAGGTTTTATAGTGAAATTGTTGGATTCTGACCAAAAATAACCAGTCGGATGTAGATTGTAGAATGTAGATCGGCCAGAATTGTATTGTAATTGTTGGAAACTGTTTACGGGCGAATACGTACGGTTTACTGAATACGGTTTTGTCCTAATAAAAGTCAAAAATACAATAGCCTACGGTGTTATATTTCGTCGGCCTTTGCGCCATCGTGAATAATACAAGATAGGCGGAAATGGGGGGGGGTTGGGGGACTAGTCCCCCCAAAAATATTGTAATAGCCCCCCCCAAAATTTTGTCTCAACATATGTCTCCACGCAAGTCTAAAAATTATTTCAAGCGATCACTCTTCAGTTCATACATGTGAGCGTTCTTTTCATGAAAAATACACCTTATGCTTCTCGTTTACACAATTTCCATACTTAATTTATAAAACATATTGACAATGACTCCATCATCATTAAATTGCAAGAAAAAATGAACAATTGTTACATTAACTTTTCTTTTAATGGTCTTTTTTAGTGTATTTATGTAACTTATAGGCTGTTAAACATATTACAAAAATCGCATTTTTTTTTAGTTTAGATTATAGTTTATATTTATTATAATTACTTTCCGCAACAGTCTAATATACAGAATTTATAAAATATTTGAAGTACCCTCCATCAAAATAAAATATGTATTTTCATGTAAGCGATATAATATTTTAAATTTACAGAGAATTACGAGCACTTATAGTTTTAAACTATACTAGGTACATAAATCGTTCATATTCATTTTTTTTTTTATTTGCTCATCATTAGTTTATAATTTATTAAAAATAATCAGGAAATACTGCGCCAACACTGTCTACCTATACAGAATCCAGTGAGTCTAAATATTTTCGCCTTTGTTATTATTACCAATAGTGTGTGCATTTAAAATTTGTATCAATCCAATCGAAATACAAAATAGGAACTGCTTACCTACTTTTAATTATCATAATTTGTGAAATATTCCTATACGAATCGGTACAAAAATAATTTAACAGCAAATTAGTTTTATAGTAGGTACATGCAGTGTTCTAAACATATACCTAAGTACCTAATTATTTTAAAACATTATAATAGGCAATTTATTTTTAATAATTTTGTACATACATAATTTTAATGTATTTTGAATCGTTTGACTGATATAAATAAAAAACAATAAGAAACGGTTTACCTAGATTTTTTGAACTTTTACTTATTTTTTGCATAAAATTGCGACTATGCCTGTAATAAATTATACCTATAATAATGTAAAATGTGACATTTTTCGTCATAAAACTTACTACCTTAAATAATTAATACTCAATATTCTTTGGTTCAAAAAAGATATATTGCCCAATGTTTGGTAATTTTCTTAAACAATTACAAAACTACTAAACTTCAAATTCCCGGGGGTGCAGTGTCTTAAAATTGAACTATTTATTTCAAGTTTTAAAGTTAATACTAAATTGGGTATTCACAAAAAAATAGGTGGGTGCCACAAAAAAAAATTTAATATTTATTTTTAAGGGTCACCCTAAGGTACACACATTATACGCACTTCTGAGTTCTGATCACACTAAAATGTGTGCCCAGTGTGAAATGATTGTGTTCCTTACTGCATTATTATTGATTTTTCATTCATATTCATCATTAAATTTTTTTATTATCAGATTTCCTTGAAATACTACTATATACGCCTGAGTTCAGTTTTATTATATTATAATAATGATTTTTCCGTCGCAATTAAAAAAAGTTAACAGCGATTGCATATCGAATTATTTAAAACTCAAACTCCAAAACTACATCGTCGGCTATTATTGCCTAGTGCCATTGACGTTACATTATAAAGTTAGTAAAGCACATATGCGAGCCTACCACTAAAATCGGTTGTTTATGGAAATGTTGAAAATGTATACACCGTGCAGTGATATATTATATTTATATACATAAACATAATATTATATAATATGTATGTTGACATATTATAAACATTATATTGGTTTACACCTGCCCTGCTGGCCTGAGCCGCTACATCTGTACCGACTTCAATTGTACTTTCGAAAGACAAACAAAACTGATTGAAGTAAAACTATTTTTTACGGTATATGGTGAAACTGTATCGATTTTATTTTTTATGTGTGTATAATCGTCGTGCAATACGCTTCACCGCTGGCCAATTATTTTGCCGAATTCAGGTCCGCGCCGGCTCGAACACTACAGTTAATAATATATAAGGTATGTGTGCGTTTGGTTAATACGACTCGGTGTAGTCTTTCTGATCAATACTGCTCGTTTACGGCATCGCCCTGTCTGACATAGTTATTTTTAATAAAAATAAAAATAACTACGATTCTAGAAAATTATTGTGCGACCCAAGGAAACTCGGTCGATTCCATTATTTTAGAATTTCCAAATCCTTGTCGATTAAATATAAATTAAGTATAGTCCGAATATTTCATTTTTATGAGAAGAAAATATATCACATCGTTAAAACAAACCTTAAAGTCATAATATTAATTCATTTAAAAGACGGACCTTATATACAACAACAACAACAACAACAATTCTCGCCATATAAGCATTAAATGTTTTTGAGTAGGTACCTATATATAATATAATGACGGCATTCAAACGAATACGACTTGCCTAATATTAAACTATGTATAATAAAACGTATATACTATACTCTTATGACATAATATGCAAATACGTTTTTCACCATAGCGTTATCATCATCGTACTCTATTAAATATTTTTTTAAAAATGGAGTGAAATTAAAAGCAGTCAACAAGTTTATATATACATATATAAAAAAAGAATTATAATATTTATATAAACGTATAAATAATAATTAACCCCCGAAGGTTTTATGAAGTAGACAGACTAAAATTAAAACTCGCATTATAGTTCTATGCTAAAAAAACATAAAAGCGTCCTGAACATATTATGCATAATATATACTGATATTAATATTATTTGCAGAATTTTCATTTCGAGTACATACAACTGCACAATCTGTCAGTCTATACTATATTTTATAATATTTTGTTCGTAGCAGTATATTTAAATAATGTCGTATTTTATCAGTGGTCCGTAGGTAGTTACATCTTTCACTGGCCGAGTACCTCTTCAGAAACAAATACACGATCTCCTCAGTTCACTTTCCGCATTTCTAATTAAAAAAAAATCTCGACTTTACAATAATTAATGTCCCCATCGCAGACCGTATTATAATATAATTTATACATGAAAGTAGGTACTTATATATTTTAATATATGTTTATATTACGTATTGTATTACGGCTAATTACATTATCGTATTTATAGATAAGTGCCGAAGCGAGGGAATGTCCTCACCGAGCCCCTAATTTGTTTTTTAATTTTTGGTTATTTAGATTATAATGACATATTTTGCAGGTATATCTATGATTAATTATCCATCTTAACCGCAATTACAAAAAACATTTTTTTTTTTTTTTTACATAAAGCTGCTGAAGCCAAGATTTGTCGATTTTTAGTACATACGGAGCGCTAGACGGTATGCCGTATGCCTGTCATATTCTTATAAACGTATAACAACATAATATTATATAACATTTTAAAATGCTTTACAACGATGATCGTTAACAATACATTAAGTTAGTTTTAGTTTAATAAATTGTAGCTAATTAATACTTAGGTAGAATACATTATTTTTGGAATAGGTAGAATTTTGCGGTGGACTTTTTGAGGGTTTAACAAAAAGTGTCAAACATATATTGGTTTTACCTAAACGGTACACAAACAATTTAGAAACTCTTGTTTCAACTAAAGGTATTGCGTATGGACGTTTACTACAACAGTCATATTATAGGACATAAGTACCTACTGTACGAGCATTCGTGCGACGGACAAAAGAGTCTAGGATTTGTTGAGTGCTCTATTTATATATATAAGCCATGCGTTATATGTATTATATACACGTCTGTTCCGTGCCCGACAAATTAATGCTCTCGCAGAGTTATTTGAAATCAACCGACGCGGGCGACCTACTTTACAAAACGGTCCATCTCCACCCTTAATGTGGAAACGCATTATTTTGTCGTGTCACTGGCGCCCGCCATACCGGGATCATACTTCATGTCACTGGCACTGATGTTGCTGACAAAAACAAGAGGACTATAGTGAGTCGGAGAGAGGGCGAGTGTGAGAGAGAGAGTGAGGGGGTGGAGTGGGGGGGGCGGTGGAGAGAGAATGAGAAGCGGAGAGAGACAGACGGCAAATTGATATAAAGACCGCCGCCGCCGTGCCGCTGCTAATGCGTGCCGAGCGTGTACTTGATAGAAATCGAATAAGAAGAACTGCTGCAGTGGGACGACAGAAACTTCACGGCAAAATCATTTATTCTATTATCGTTATTTTTTTTTTTTTTTATCAAACACCGACGATAGTATTAATAACAATATACAGGGTGATTCGAAATTTTTAAGGATACTATTTTCAATCGCTGAAATTGTTATAATTTGTAAGTTATGTACTCGAAATATGTAGAATGTTAGAGTATTAAACTCGAATAAATATTATTTATTCACAACGTCGCCGAGCTGCGGGGGTTTAGGACTTTATAGGGTCATATTATAATCATATGTATCGTTTAAGTTCTAATGGTTGCAATACATCGTTAAAATATAATTTCGCAAATATGGTGTGGGTATTCTGAACAAATATAATGTTATTCAATCTAATATTATTATAATATCTATATAATATGGGCATGGGATAAAAAAAATTAACTTTTGTTTATTAATAAAACTCCTAACGACAAATGACTTTCAGACAACCGAAACAATTTAAT